AGCGAGAGATGCGGGACTGCTGCGTGATCTGCCTCACAGAAACCTGGCTATCGGACAAGGTACCGGACTCCGCAATACAACTACCGGGGTTCTCTGTGCACCGCGCGGACAGGTCACAGGATCTTACTGGGAAAAGCAGAGGCGGTGGTGTGTGTTTCATGATCAACAACAGCTGGTGTGATTATGCGAACGTGCACCCGGTCAAACCCTTCTGCTCACTGGACCTGGAGTACCTGATGATTAAGTGCCGGCCATTCTGGCTACCGAGGGAATTTACAGCAGTGATTATTACGGCTGTTTACATTCCCCCACAAGCCGACACTGACCGAGCACTCAGGGAACTGTACAGCGCGATCAGCAGTGAGGAAACCGCACACCCAGAGGTGGCGTTTATCACGACCGGGGACTTTAATAAGGGAAACCTGAAGAAAGTTTCACCAAAACTCCACTAACACATCCATTTCAACACCCGTGGAGACCGGCTACTTGACCACTGCTACACCTCTTTCTGGGATGCGTACAAAGCCCTCCCCCGCGCCCCATTCGGCCAATCAGATCACCGCTCCATCCTGCTCCTGCCCGCCTACAGGCAGAAGCTGAAACAGGAAGCTCCAAGCCTGAGGGCGGTGCACCGTTGGTTGGACCAATTGGAGTCTACGCTGCGGGACTGTTTTGATCACGCGGACTGGGAAATGTTTCACGTGGCTGCTAATGACATTGATGAGTACACAGACTCAGTCTGCGGATTTATCAGGAAATGCGTGGAAGATGTCGTCCCATCCAGAACAGTTAAATCCTTCCCAAATCAAAAACCCTGGATTAACAGAGATGTTCGCACGGCACTGGCGGCACGGAGCACCACTTTTACCTCCGCAGACACATCGGACTACAAACATGCACATTACGAACTCCGGAAGACGATCAAAGCAGCCAAACGTGAGTACAGGGACAGGGTGGACCAACAGTGGACCACGGCCTCTCTGTGTGAGGATCTAATCGTATTCTACGCTAGATTCGACACAGTGAACACCATGAGACCGGACAGTGTGCGCACCGCGGATGACGTCAGTGCGCACACTGTGTCTGAGGAGGATGTGTGGAAGTGCTTCAGGAAGGTGAACGCACGCAAAGCTACTGGTCCGGACGGGATTCCCGGGCGCATCCTCAAGTTATTCACGGCTCAGCTGGCTGGAGTGTTTACACACATCTTCAACCTTTCCCTCTCTCTGTGTGTAGTCCCAGCCTGCTTCAAAATGGACACCATTGTCCCTGTACCCAAATCCTCCACCATCTCCTCATTGAATGACTGGCGACCTGTAGCCCTGACCCCCATCATGAGCAAATGCTTCAAGAAGCTGGTCAGGGACTTTATTTGCTCTTCACTACCCGACCCACTGGATCCTTTACAATTTCCATACCCCCACAACAGGTCCACTGATGATGCCATAGCCCTGACACTACATACTGCCCTGTCACACCTGGAAAAGAAAGACACGTATGTGAGAATGCTGTTTGTGGATTACAGCTCAGCATTCAACACTATCGTTCCCTCGAAGCTGGACAGGAAACTGCAGGATCTAGGACTGAGCAGCTCCCTCTGCAGCTGGATCCTTAGCTTCCTGTCTGACAGACGCCAAGTGGTCAGACTGGGCAGCATCACCTCATCCCCCATCACACTGAACACTGGTGCTCCACAGGGGTGTGTATTGAGCCCTCTCCTGTACACACTCTACACCTATGACTGCACGGCCACTAACAACTCCAACATCATTGTGAAGTTTGCGGACGACACTACAGTGGTGGGTCTTATCACCAACGGTGATGAGACGGCTTACAGGGAGGAGGTCAGCGCCCTGACCTACTGGTGTCAAGACAACCATCTCACCCTCAACGTCGCAAAGACAAAGGAGTTGATAGTGGACTTCCGGAGGTGCAGAGAAGTACACACCCCCATCACCATCAACGTGGAGAGAGTGAGCAGCTTCCGGTTCCTTGGTGTACATCTGGCTGAGGATCTTACGTGGTCAGGACACATAAACAAAACAGTGAAGAAGGCGCAGCAGCGCCTCTTCTTTCTCAGGACACTGAAAAGATTCTGCATGAGCCCCCGCATCGTCAGGACCTTCTATCGCTGTCCCATTGAGAGCATCCTCACTGGATGCATCACCACCTGGTATGGCAACAGCACCGCTTACAATCGCAAAGCTCTCCAGAGAGTAGTGCGGTGTTCTGAACAGACAATTGGAGGTGAGCTTCCCTCCCTCCAAGACATCTACAGGAAGCGGTGCCTGAGGAAAGCGGGGAGGATCATCAAGGACTCCGTCACCCCAGCCATAAACTGTTCAGACTACTTCCATCAGGAAGGAGGTTCTGCAGCATCCGGTCCCGTACCAGCAGACTGAGAGACAGCTTTTTTCCACCAGGCCATCAGACTGCTGAACACTTCATAGTCACCTCACCTGCACTTACCGGAACTCCAACATTATGCACTACATAGTGTATATAAATACCTCGTTTTGCACATTTCCAACTGCCAACCTCTGTATATTTATTTTTATTGTTTATTCTATTAAATTTTTTAAATATGTATATATATATACACACACACACACACACGTAGAAAAACATATTTAATATACACAGCATCCTACCATGCGATTGCATTTGTCGCTAACCATCAGGAACCCTCACGTTAACTTTTATCGAGTGGAAAAAAGTTAGCATTCATCCTGCAGCCTCACTGTGTTTATGTTATGCTAACATAGCTGTGTCACTAGCAATCACGTAGCACATCATTATATACCAGCTAGTCCAACTTCAGTAACCCTACAAAAGTTAATGCTCTTTAGTTTTATGTCTTCATTTACGTTGGAAGTGATACCAGAGCTGTACGTTTTAATTTTTTCATAAATCTCTCATGGTCAGGTGGAAGCTACCGAACTTCCTACTAACTTCTAACTCAGTTAAACTGAATAAATCCTGCTTTCATGGATGCCTGGGTGTTAAACTTAATCGTTACACCTGGTAAAGCGGCAACACTGATGATTTTATTAAAGATGAAAGAATTTAGACAGTTTTAACTCTCAGTGATGTCAAAGTGTTTGTTTGACTTTGGGACCTAAAGTGGAGTTTGGACCCAGATTACTCTGTGAGGCTCCTGACTGCGGTAGCCATAATGCTCCGACAATTCTTCAATCGCTGCAGTAGTTTTGTAGTTTACCAAAGTCGTACTAAAACATTTTTTGACAGATTTTTGAGCGCTGTGTACCACATAAAATCGGTTTGAGGTCAGTAAGCACAACCAGAATTCGTACATAAGGCGCACTGTCGATTTTTGAGAAAATTAAAGGATTTTAAGTGCGCATTATAGCCCGAAAAATACGGTGTATGCGATGTGTGTTTATGCCTGTCTGGACGTGTGTGGTCATCTGCAGAACCCATGTTGTAAAGTCTGACAGCAGTTGGAAGGAAAGACCTGCAAAATCTCTCCATCCCACATCGTGGGTGCTGCAGACTGCTACTGAAGGAGCTATTCTCTGACTCTGAGCAGCAGATATTGAGTTTTGCACACTGACATAAGTACAGATACGTAAAAGGAGCATAGAGTCCCACCTCTCAAGCAACAAAACCTCATAAACTACAGAGGCTGTGCTGTGAAGGCAGAAGACCTGAGTGTGCCACTCTCAGAGGAGTTAAATTGCTTCTTTGCTCACTTTGAAACATCACAACAGCAGCACTCATGTGCTCCAGCCCTGCTCCCATCCTCATCTGGTTCCTGCACCACTCCACTCACTGTAAGGAAGCATGAGTACCTGGCAAGGTGCTTAGAGCGTAAGCCCACCAGCTCACCACCCTGATCTTCGCCAGAATCTTTAACCTCTCTCTAGATCAGCCAGTAATCCCGTCTTGTCTAAATCAGCCACAATCATCCCGGTGCCGAAGAAGTCTCCCACTACTAGCCTAAATGATTATCAACCTGTGGCCCTCACTCCAGTGATCATGAAATGCTTCGAGAGACCAGTCCTTCAGCACATCAAAGACTATCTCCCCGTAGACCTTGACCACTAACATGATATCAAAACTGCTCTCCACTCTGTGCTGAGCCACCTGGAACAGCGGCGAAACTACATCTGGATGCTCTTTGTAAATTACAATTCTTTCACCTATTCAAGCAGAGGTGGAGTGACATGTCTGTTCATCTAGATGTAACACTGGTTATCTCTCTGACTTTCTTTATCTTTGTCAATAGGCTTTAAAGTAAAACAGATAGTTCTCTTATGTTTTTCAGCATGGCAACATTAATCATAGTTATCACTAGTAGTGAATTGGAAGCTTCCACTGGTGGACATATCCCTGACATCTTGATTATAAACAGGAACAAAATTAATTCACGAAAAGTACTAAACAGGTTTTGAAAGCATAAAAAAAACATTTGTCCTTACCTTTTTTTCTTCCTGTAAACCAGAAGATTTGCAGTCGGGGATCTGATAGGAAAAATATGAAGAAGAAAGAAATGTTATTTTCACATACATTGAAATGGCTTTGTCCATAAGTATGTTTATTTTTGTACTGTAAATTTCTACCTGTATAACTATTTGAAGACACATGTACCAGCATGTTCATTTCTATTTTAAATTTTTGAGACTCAGTTGAAGAATAAGTGACAGAAACAAATTGTGAGTATAGAACATTAATGCATGCCTTTAAAATGTAGCTTAGTATATTCAAGTAAGGTGCAATGTGTTCACTCAGTATATTTATGAAAAAACTTTAAATTAATGGAGAATAATGTATTGTGGGGATACGGAGACAGACTAATACTTACCTCTCACTGTTATCCTCTTTAAACATCTTTTTATTAACCTATTGATGGAAAATTATAACCACATATAATATGATGAAAATCTTTTTCCACTGTAATAATGCATGTGGTAACAATAATGCATGTGGCAACAAGGGAATTTTGGAATGCATTTCAGAAAAAGGGAGTGGAGTCTTACCAGTGTGACACTGGTATCATCAAAGTTATACCATCTGTCTTCATTCGGAACCTTGATTGTTGCAGTGTAATGTCCACCTTGTGTGTTATGATCCACAACTGCATACAGTTCATATGACTTACTCTGATTATGAAAAAATGAAGCCATCAGAAAGTGGAGGGAAAATGAAATGTATGATTTTTAAAAACTGATATTGTAACGATACCTCTGATATCTGCAGGCTATAGGGTATTTTCACAGTACTGTTGTTTTTAACACGTGATATGTGTTTATAGTTGGAGGGAAACCTCTTCAGCAGCAGAATCAAAACATCTGGATGGTGCTTTATCAGCTTACTCTTAATTTTAAAAAAAAGAGTAAGCATATATTTATATATGTTTGTGTATGTATATATATGTGTGTGTGTGCGCGTGTGTCATTACTCACTGAAGTAACCACAACGTAGGCATTACAGTTGTCACAGTATATCCTGTTTTCGTCACACAAATGAGAAGGCCTGAAAAACTCCTCAATGCAGTTCACCTGAAAAAAAATTACTTGTGACTTTTATTTAGCTGTGACAAAAATCCACTGAGCAGCAAATGATTGTTAGTGCTTTCGAGTGCCGTTAACCAATTATCATGACATTTTTCACCTCAAAATTTTACACACAATATTGCATAGAGAAAATGAAAAAAATCATGTAAATGTATTACAAATAAAAACAAAAACAAAAAATGTAACATGTACATAAGCTTTTCATTTTGCACCTTTGGCATCAATCATAGCCTCAAGTGTTCTTTGAGTGTAATATTACAAGCTTGGCACACCCTGTGATGGGATGTCCCTTGTCTGCTGCTGCCCCTCTTTATTGTGGAGTACCGCTGGGGTCCGTGCTAGGCTGTTTTTCTTTTACAAGCTACCTTTGGGCTCTATTTTTGACAAGGATCAGATCACCTACCACTGCTATGCTGACGACATTCAAATCTATTTCCAGTTGTCTGATGATATGTCAGCTTCATTTAATCGCTTGTCTGACTGCTTGAGAGAGGTCACAGAGTGGCTGTCAGTCAATTATCTTATTTTAAATAAGCAGAAAACTGATATTATGGTGTTTGATCATCACTCTCCCCAAGATCAGCTAGCTGCCCTATTTGGTCCATTTGCTGGGTGGACAGTTCATTCAAGCTGGATAAACAGGTTTCCTCTGTAGTTAAATCAGTTTTTTACCAATTGCGCCAAATCTCTAAGGTCAAACGTTTAAAAGATCTTGAAAAGCTCATCCAGATTAGGCTATTGTAAATCTCACTACTCTGGACAACTCACTCACCTCCAACGATTACAGCTTGTTCAAAATGCCGTGGCTCGTCTCCTAACTGGAACTAGAAAGTTTGCCTCTATAAGTTCTCGCTGATTTACATTGGCTACCTATTAAATTTTGCATTGATTTTAAAATTCTCCTGCTTACTTTCAAATTTCTAAATAACTTGGCGCCAGACTATCTTGCTGACCTCCTCAGTTTGTACGTTCCTAGCCGTGCCTTATGATCATCTGGTCAACTACTCCTGGCTCAACCTAGGCACCGCCTGAAGACTAGGGTCGATCGTGCCTTTGTCTCTGTTGCACCAAACCTATGGAATAGTCTTCCCGTTACCATTTGTGCCTCTGACTCCATTTAATCTTTTAAAGCACGCTTGAAAACTTGACTTGCTAAACTTTACCTCTCACTAATCGCTGTATCATTATTAATTTTGACATTTTCTGGATACTTTTATGAATTTTCCCTACTCATATCTTTTAATGCTTCTGTCGTTCCTTTATTCTAATTTATTTTAATGACTTACTGGTTTTGTTATCAATTACTGTTTATTGTGTTATTGTGAAGCACTTTGGTATACCCTTGGTTTTAAATGTGCTATACAAATAAACTTGTATTTTATTGTACCTATTTTTTTTACAGTTTCTCCCATTCTTCTTTGCAGAATTTCTAAAGGTGGGATGGGAAGTCGTAGTGCACTGCCATTTTCAGATCTCTTTAGATTTGTTCAATCAGGTTCAAGTCTGGGTTCTGGCTGGGCCATTCAAGAACATTTGCAGAATAATAATTAATTACTTAATCAATTAAGCCATTGCTTTGCTATCTTGGTTGTGTGTTAAAGGTTGTTGTCCTGTTGTAAGATGAACTTTTGCCCCAGCCGGAGGTTCAGATCACTGTGGAGCAGGCTGGCATCAAGGATATCCCACTACATTGCTGCATTTATCTTTCCCTCAACCTGGACTGGTCACTCTGTTCCTGCTGCTCAAAAAAAGATACCCTAAAGTATGATGTGGGCCACCACCATGCTTCACTGTAGGTACAGTGGGGCAAAAAAGTATTTAGTCAGCCACCGATTGTGCAAGTTCCCCCACTTAAAATGATGACAGAGGTCAGTAATTTGCACCAGA